CGTGTGTTACACGAAACGTTTAACTACAAGTGCATTGGAAAAAACTGTTAAATCAGGCTAGTGTACTGCCACTTCTACAAGAAATCCAGGCTACTTGCTGCCGTTGCTCCTTTATTCTAGTCTGCTAAAAATCAACTTTCCGTATACAGAAAAGCGAACGAAGGCTGATACACTGACACCTAATTCGTGGTCATATGCACAGCATGAAAACAGGATGAAGGTTTTTGAAACGGAGCGTCATTGATCAGCTTAAATAGCGCTACTTGATGATTCGTCGGAGTACAAAAGAGTACTGCGATAGGGCATTGTTTTCTATCCTCAATAGCCTATCTATCACCTCATGTAACTAAGCTAATCCCAATTTATGCCAATCTCCGAATCCTTTCGTGAACTCTCTCTTGCAGCTGGCTTTGAGTAAATTGGATATCATCGTTTTCATTTACTAATTCATCACTTATGTGCGGGAAAAACTCATTTTCAGCAAACCTAAACAATTTTAAGCACTTTTTATTGAATCTAAATGAAAAGGAAAACAATATGACTTAGACTACCAAATAAGCAAAGATGGCCAGTGCGGGCTCGATAAAAAAGAAGGAAATGGGAGGAAAAAATAAAAGTGATGAAGAAAGAGTGCATGAAATGAATAGCAGTTTTCCCTCAAAATATTAAAACTGGACTGGTTTCTGCATATTCTGTTTTTCACATCCATTATGATACCAACAGATTTTCATTACAAAAATATTAATTTAACAAAATCCTCCAGCAGTTTTTTTGCAATGAAGAATCAACAACAAGTTTCTTCGGCAAAGTTTTTTGAAAAATACTCTTAACAAATTTTTGTCCATTGCTCAAGCTGAAGTAGTCCAAAAAGTCAGTGTTATATTTATTTATTCGAAGCTGCAACAAATTTCCAGCTACTGTTCTGTTCGAGAAAATGCTGCTGGTGTGATCGAGGAAGTATGTGATATCTGTGATGCATCTAGTAAAAGTCGAGCACATCCTGCTTCATATCTAACGGATTTGAACAATTCACAAAATGTGACATGCTGGATATCCGAACCGTCCACCGATTATCCACACAATGTCACACTGACTCTATCACTGGGCAAAAAATACGAGCTAACTTACATTTCAATGCAGTTCTGCAATCGTCTTGCTGACTCCATGGCCATTTATAAATCAATGGATTTTGGAAAAACCTGGATTCCATTCCAGTTCTATTCGACTCAGTGCAGAAAGGTTTATGGACGTAATCCAAATGTTCAAATTAGCAGACATAACGAGCAGGTTTCTATTGCTTTTTTCACTTTCACATTTCTAATTGCTTTTTTTCATTTGCAAATAATTATAACATCTATGTCGCTCACAGCTATATCTCAACTAAATTCCGATTGTAAGCATCCCGATTACAAACCTCAGCTTTCTAGCAAATATAAGTGGTATAGATTTCAGCTCACAATTTCAGAAAGCTTCTTTTTCAGTTTTTCTCTTTCTGTTCTGCCTGCACTAATACTGTCAATGATGTCACACCATTTCAACATGCATATAAATCGAATTACGCATCTTTATCTATTGCATCGTCAGCCAGCCAAACTCCCAAATCTCGCGTTTCTCAAAAACTCACAGTGGTACTAAGAACCCGTTTTAGTCAGCTGCACAATTAAGTAGATTGTCAGTCCGTTTTCAAGTTCGAGTTGGATAATCCTCCAAAATGACGCAATTCAAGCTACAAAATAAAATGCCCAGCTTGTTCTGCAGAAAAATGAGAAAAAAAAAAACAACTTGTATAGATTAATGGTGATTGCTTGTTGAAAAATCTAACTAGAAAAACTGATAATTATTATAGCAGTATTAAATAACATTTAGAAAATGCACTGTTTTATTTCGCCAAGTCTTCCAAGCCTTATACCACTAGCACAGCTTCATTTTGTTACTGTAATGATGCAATAATCAATAGCGCAGCAAGAATTTTTGTTGGAGGATAAGTACTTTTGACAGTTTTCAGGATAGTTAGGGCAATTAGCTTTTTACAGTTGTAGCTAACATACGTTCATAAAATTACTAGCAAGATGGATAATTAAAACTTTAGCTAATTTTTTAAAGAAAAATGGCTCCTGTGAAAGCTGAAAAGCAAAATTTACGCCCATTTTCGCTGATTTGGCTAACAAAATATTAATTTTTTCCTTGAAAGCGGGCGATTCCTGCACCGTTCAAACACTACTCATTACCCGTCCACGCTGTAAAAGCCGAATAGATTTTAGTTTTAACTCGATTGGTAGGACTTTACCAACAGTAACCACCTCTCAGCAACGACATCAATGTTTCCGTTATGGAGCGGTGTTTCAGGAAGCATTGTGTACTGATGCCCATGCACTTACTCCAATGGCGAGTCGAGTTGCATTCGCAACTCTGGAAGGTCGTCCCTCGGCATTTGAATTTGAACAGTCGCCAGTGCTTCAAGACTGGGTTACCGCTACTGATATACGCATTATTTTCAATCGACTTAGTCCTGATCAGGTTATAAAATTTCCTTTGCATGGGTTTGGTGCAATTTTATAAAGGTGTTGAAATACTTGATTTTTTAGTTATTTCTGCTGATTTTTTAATTTTTAGTAAATTAATCAAAATCAAATAGCATATAGTAAAGCTCTTATGCTCTTATTGCGAGTTAACAACAGTGCTCTCAATTCCATTAAAATTTGCAACTGAAATTTTTGTATCCACAAATCTTGAATACTTTCACTGGTATTATCCCATGTGAAGATCACTGCTCTGACTGGCTTGATTAACAAGGTAAAGAAAAAAATACTGTAAATTCTGCCTTTATTTAGCATAACCTGTCAATCTGAGCTTTTTTTCAAAGTACCACAGAAGTTATGCTCTGCCACGTTCCAGTAAATCGCTACGCTAATCACCAGCTAAACTTAACCAGAAGGGCGCACGATACGGGGAGAAATGACTTCAGTTGTGACGAGGGCTGGATTAACTGCAGTTTTTAGTGATCTATTTGCGGGCCTGAGTTTAATGTATCCCCAAACCTTTTATTTCGAAAAATTTTGAGGCAATTCTATGTTAGCCGAAATAGCCGAAATTCACTCGCAGTAAAAAATTCAATTAGATTTTCTTCGAAGATTTTTAGAAGTTTAAATGACTTCTAAAAGCAATCACATTAAGAGTTAAAAATTTTCGAAATTCTTCGAAATTCTGCAGGCGGAATTGTATGGTTTAACGAACGAAATGGGTGTGAATATAACAAATATGGATCGACTGAAGCAGCGTTATTACTACTCAATGGGTGAATTAGCAGTTGGTGGTCGTTGCAAATGTAACGGGCATGCCTCCAGGTTCATCAGTAATACAGTCTTAATCATAATTAAAAGCGAATGACACTAATTTCTTAGAAGTGCAAGTTTATTCCGCGTTTCGCAGAACAGCCTCACTTCTTGTTTACTGCCTTCTTGTTAGAAGCAGTCACGAGAACAAACAGTCTCTCCAACAAATCGACGGTGCTAGAGATTCGGCATTTTATGTCTTCGAAAAGCTCTAAGCTTTCCAGCTGGTGACCAATTAATGATTTTTTGATTCTTAAAAAATGAAAAAAAAAATTGCACGGAGGTGCCCCGTATCGTTTAGGTCCTTCGAAAATGCCGAACTGCATCCCATTGGATGCTGTTTGTAAAAGACAGTATTTGAGTGATAGGATGATAACATGCGTTGCCAGCTTTCACCAAAAATGAACTGTAGTCACCTGTTCTTGCTTTGCCAAAATAGACAGGTATCAATAAATGCGGGTCAGGAGGTAGAAGAGACTACTTGGAACACTTGTTACACATCTGATCTGACCGGCAGCCAGGAGAAGCAGAATGGGCCAGCGTGACTGTGCTCGAAAAATATGCAAATTGCTGTCGAGCAAATTAAATGAATATTGAAGGTGCATACTGGACAGAGCAGGGAATTACATTTGCGACTGCAAGCACAACACAGCTGGCACGGATTGCGAGCGCTGCAGGCCATTCCACTTGGACCGCCCGTGGGGCCGCGCAACCGCCAGCAATGCGAACCACTGCGTCGGTAAATCACATCCTTTCATTTCTATTATTTTTTCCTTTTTTGTTTGTGTAATAGTAATTGACACTTTCTTTGAACTGGCGCTGATCAGAGAGAAAGAGGGACCTTCAAAATTCGGTTAAAAATTTCACATTTTTTCAATTATTGCAATAAGCGGTTTGACGTTTTTCCTTGCACTGAAAAAAAAAAAAAAAACTGAGGATAAGTTTCAGTCATAGGCCGAGGAGTGTATCCTCACTTTATTTTTGGTAACATGCGGGGAAGAGTGAGGGTGAGGTTTGGAGTTGGTGAAAAGGCTTTTACTCTTGTGATAATAAATTTGGGAAATACAGCTAGCACTTGAATTTGCAACCTATTCCACAAATCACCCTTTTTCTCTTGTTTGTCCAGAAAAATTCAATGCATCTAATATTCCTTTGGACATTGGTGCTTTATTCTTCACTTTACCATAGTTTCTCGCTAATTAAGCACCGCCAGTTTGAGTGCATAAAAAGAGAATTGTGTGCTGTTGCGTATGCTGAACTATTTTGACTTACCGCAAAATTCAACCGTAATTTTAAGAAAGCTAATAAGCTCAAATTTCGAAAAATAGTCTCCTATTATCGTAGAAGCCGGAAACGTGAAAAAACTTCGCTGTCTGCTATTTATCAATAGCTTCCACCTAAAGACTTTACTAATAGTTTTACAACACTAAGGCCAAAAATAATGAATAGCGATAATCTGAAAACCTAACTTCATTATTGAAAAATAAAGCTATTTCAGTTTGAAGCACAGACTTTAACTGAGCTTAAGATTTGTACTCCCATCATATTAATAACTGGTAACGGTGCAGTTGCATTCCAGTCGCACTAAGAACTCTAAAACGATAGTTTGAGCAGATTTGGTGGTCTTTATTAAATAAAAATGGTAGTTAAACATGTCCGATGGTCCGCTTTTTAGCCAGTGTTAGCAGAAATTAGTGAAATGTGATTATATCATCTGCAATATTTAATGATCATCGTAGCAGCAGGGTCACGCACAATCATCGCTTCCCGAGTGGAAATAACAGCAGCAGCAGCAGCAGCAAAGGCCTTTTGGCAAATATAACACCTTCAAGGATCCAATAATATCGTTAGCACGCACTTATGAACGAATTAATGAGCGGCAGGGTTTTTGTCGTGCCCTGCTTTAACCAGGACCCTTTGAAAGACGGAGAAACAGACGGCTATACTAAAACGCTGGAGGGGGATGTTGAAGTAGTTGCATGTTTCCACTAATGCCACTTTGCCCCTCCACTAAAAACAATGCCTCTTCGGGATCGTTAAAGGGGTAAGGGGAGGGTAGAGGTCGAAG